CGAAAGTAAACAGCAGTCGACTGTATGGGTGTTTCAAGATGAGCCAAACATAGGCTCAAACAACTGCATTTTTGAGTACCCAAAACATCAATTTGATGAGTCATCCGCCGTATAGTCCTGACTTGGCACCGAATGACTTCTTTTTATTCCCGCACGTAAAAAACAAACTGAAGAAGCGGTTGCTGCATTCAGATGCATGTTTTGGAGATACCACAATCAGAGTGGCAAAAGTGCTTCGCCAACTGGTTCAAACGCATGCAAAAGTGTATAGATCTTTATGGGGAATATTTTGAAAAACAATAAGAGAATGCATGTTTTGGAGATACCTCAATCAGAGTGGCAAAAGTGCTTCGACTATTGGTTCAAACACATGTAAAAGTGTATAGATCTTCATGGGGAATATTTTGAAAAACAATAAAGTTATTTTCGATGATTAATATTTGTCTTTGTTCTCTAATCCGGAAATATAAAAGGCAACTCTCGTATTTTGATCTTATAAAGAGGCTTTGATTCGCTTTACGGTAAAATTCTCCTAAATGAACTAGTGTTAGATGTTTGAAGATGTAGCCCTGCAGATGCCTAAATCATTTCTGGCTACAAGAATTTCTCAGGGTTTTCTGGGATTTTCAGATTCAGATTTATTCAGATTAAAGTGTACAGATAAAGATACATATCGATGATTATTATAAAGTTTCTGTTGGATGACGAGACTGCACCTAAGCATTTTTTATGCTTGAGTTTATTATTTATTTGAAAGATAGAAAACAATATGTTAGTATTGGCAAAACAATTGGTTCTCGTAAGAGGCATTCCTCAGGGATCTATAATTGGTTCTTTTTCTTGTCTACAAGGAGGCTTTATTCTCATAAAAAATTTAAAAAATGCTTATGATATGTCAGCAACGTCTACCTGTCTTGCCAGAATTATTAATTTATCTGATTAGATTTTGACACAAGATGCCAATATTGTACCTATTTCCAAGAAGCTACCGTGTAGCGAAACGCATTTTGAATAAAATATATTGTGAAAATACTACAATTATTATCATGGATGATGATACATCTGTGATATGCANAGCTAGCCTTGCATAAATTACCTGATGGATCTTTTTTGTAGAAAGAATACCATATTGAAACGGAATTGTGCATCATTACCTCAGAAACAAATCCCATAATGTAAATAGGACTCAATTTGTGCAAAATAAAATGATCTTGTGATAGCAGTATTTAACTCTCTTGCGACCAATCTCTCTGCATGGCATCCTGCTGCTAGTCTTTTACATAAGTAGTAAGTAGATTATACCTCGAAGTCTCAGCAATGACTCAGTGACAAGCTTCATGTTTACTCGTATTTATAATTTCACAGGGTCGTGGGGGGTGATGAAAGGGATGGTGGCGGGGTTGGTAGTGGGGGCGATAGCAGGGTGCCCATATCAGTGATATCTGCTGCAGTAGCAGACGGTACGCTTGGTACTTCAGGTTCAATTCGACCACGGCTTACAAGCAGAGATTTTGTTCTATTCAATCATGACTCCAGCTTTGTGTGTGTGTTCGGAAAGGTTTCGGCAGTCGGGAATCTGATAATTTGATGTCCGGGTTGAACCGCGTCTTGTGTTTTTAGTTGCTTGACGTTTCGGCTTCGACTTTGAACCCATTTTCAAGAAGCTATCACTACACTGAGATCCAGGTCTCGTCGTTGTTCTCTGCAAGGATCTCAATCTACCTACTCCAAAGCGTCGACTGTCGATCCACTGGTTAGGTCCAAAGTGAGTGGATCTATTCGACCCTCCACCGCAACCCGCAAGGGTTCATTGTGGCTCACACCTATTCACACTCGGCCAAATAAACCCAGCTTCTTAACGAAGCCGATTAGTTTGTATGGTGAGTGGTCTTTCAGGTCACATGGTGAGAGTACGGCTCTGCTGAACTCCAAAGACCTGATTCGGTCCCCAGCGGGGCACGCACAAAGTATATGCTCTGTTAATCAGGTAGTCGGATAGTCAAGTTGCAAGATTCCCTCCCACCTTGACACTTACGACAACCTTCCCATATGAAGGTTTTTACATGTCAGCTACACCTGACGATGCCTTAGATTCAGCCATGCAGAGCTTTTTCGCCACTGGTTTTAGTGAAGCATCACTTGAGCGCAAACGTTTGCTAACCTGGGGGTTTGTTTCCCCACCTGAGAAGATTATGCGTACGCCGTTCAAGAATTTCGTACAAAGCGGTTTTATATTATTACTCTTTATTAGCAAATAATGCTCTTCATAGTACAGTCAGTCACTTATAAGGTACCCTGCTCTTGGGGAGAAGACTCAGTCGTTTCCTGGCTGCACCACCAAACCTTTTTTTAAGGTTCAGTTGGTACTGATCTGGTATTTATGTCCCTAGACGAGTGGTGGGAGCGATGGCGAAGTGGATAGTGGAAAAAGGGTTGTGACTTGTAATGTGTGCAATATTATGAGATGTATAGCATGACAGTAATGATCTCCATGAATGGGGTAATCTTTGTGAATTGTCTCGTTTGTGGAAGCATTTGGGACATTTAAAATTTCAATAGCTTTGCGAATTATCTTGGCCTGTAGAGTTTTTTCAGTGGCAATGGTTTGGTGTTCTTGAAGCTTATGGTGTGGCTTGTCTCACGATGATGTTTGAAGAGGATTGATACTGGATCTGATTCACTATCTGAACTTCGTTCCCACTAACAACTCCACCACTGTTCCCACTACCGGTCCGTCCCTCCACTCGTTCTGGGACATAAATACCAGACCAGAACCGGTGGACCAACAGTCGACGCTTGAGAGTAGGCAGATTGAGACCCTCACAGAGACCAACGACGGGACCTGGGTGAGTAGGAAGTCTGAGGCCCCGACGTTAAGTCACAAAACCCTTGCAACATAATAATAATAATATCTTTATTCGTCTTGAGAAACACAAGGTTTATAGACATGTCAAAACAAATGCCGCAATTAAAATTAGCATAACATCTCAATGGTGGTCATGAATTGAGAAAAAAAAATAAGAAGACATACTCATTAAAACAAATCAACATACTTATTAAAACAAATTACATTACATGATTGAATTTGAGAATTAGATGGTAATCATAAGGTTGAAAAAATTATATTGAGATCATCAAGAATATCAAGATCGTTAAAAAGTTCAGTACAAACATTTGATTTAAATTACAATACACATACATATTAGTCAACTGGGAACACACCTATTATTTAGGTGTTCACATTGAAGGGTTCTCTATTCAATTGGACACTTCCATAAAATTCATTGATATCATACAGGGGATTTTCAGTTTAGAAAAATTTCAGAAAGTACTTGAATCTATTGAATGACAAATTGCGAAAGTCTATTGGCAGAGTATTGTATAGCTTGAGGCCAATATAGTCAGTCCTTTTCAGTCTATTTGCTTGCATGACGAGGTCTGAATTATTTTTTAGTATCATGATGGTGTATGTCTGTACGATAGGTATAATTATTTATATTTAGTCGAATATGTAGTAGGTTTTCATAAACTGAATACAGTGTCATTATTTTGATATTTTTAAATATTGGACGGCAAGTTTCATCCCATCTGGCAGAAGTTATACTTCTTACAGCGAACTTCTGCAGGATAAACACTTTTTCCAGATGACATTCTGATGCACTGCCCCAGGATATTATTCCATATCTTAGAATTGAGTGAAAAAGAGAATGATATGTAGTGAGGGCTGCATTCTGGTTCAAAGATCTTTTAATTACTCTAATTGCATATGTTGACCTACTCAACCTGGTACATATTATATTTATATGTTCTACCCACGATAAATGTGTGTCAATATTAACCCCTAACAATTTAACTGCAGTTTTATCAGCTTGGTTTGAGTTTCTTGTTTCAAAAGTTAGTACTTCTGTTTTTTGTTCATTTAAAATCAGTTCATTTGATCCAAACCAAGATCGTGCTTTGTCCAGGATATTATTTAGGGTATGTTGAGGAGTTTTAAATTCGTCCACTGCTCTGCTCAAGGATGCATCATCCGCATACATGGTGGTCTTAATATCTGATTAATTCAAGAAATGTCGTAGATCATCAATATGTATATGAAAAAGAAGTGGTCCTGATATGGAGTCCTGAGGAAGTCCTCTTACCAATTTCATTTTTTGACTACGAGATTCTCCCCATTCTACCACTTGAAATCTCTCAGTCAAGTATGATTCTATCATCTTTAGGCACACCACTCTAATACCATACCAGTATAATTTGTCTAAGAGGATTTTATGATTCACACAATGAAACGCCAAAGTGAGATCAGTGAGTACACCAATATAATTATCTTTATTGTCAAATGCATCTTTTATGTAATTTGTGAGAGTTGATTGCATCAGAGGTTAATTTCCCTCTTCTGAAGCCACATTGATGTGGACTCAAAATATCATTGACTTCTAAAAATTCAACAAGTTGTGTGTAAATGGCATATTCAATTATCTTCGAGAAAGTTGGTAGAATGGAAATTTGTCGGAATGTCACTACCTGAGAAGTAGGCAGATTGCAAGGTCTCTGCAAGGGTTTATTGCAGAGACCAGATTTCATAATAATTGCCGAGTGCATTTATGTAAAAAAAATATTTGATGAGTAGTCAAACTGACACATAGACAAGCACTTTGAGCTACAAAACAGTTGGTGCAACTGTAATTCTTGCATTCATGTACATATATTATTTTATGCAAAGACACAATCAAAAGAAACATTCTGCTGATAAAACGGGAGATGAGAAAGAATCTTGAGACACAACAACTTTGAACAGAGCTCTAAAAATAATTCGTGGTGTATTCACCAAGTTCAACTTGCGAAAAAGCATACCAGCTATAAATTGCTAACACAAAATGAGAAAAAAAGCACTCCTTGTAAGTGATGCTTACCTTCAGTATCTTCGTTCTTTTCAGGTAGCGTCACCATTACTATGTCAGATTTACGACTTGAGTTGGAGGAAGCGTCATCCGCCTTATAAAGAGATTCCCTAGAGTTTTGATCTGATCCTTGTGAATTATTGTTACCATCAAAGTTCTCAGAATTTTTTTCGTCAATATCCAATTTTTCTGCAGAGTCAACAACAACTGTAGTAGCTTTTGAACGGCTTGATAAACCTTCTGCATTCAAATCATCAATTTTAAAACATTCTGGTATGGGTACAACGATATAGTCCTGGGTTAATCCTTTTGAAGACCTGCTCTCTGGTACAGAAACTATACTTTGATTGTCAGAGTCACTGCTGCTGCAGTTAGTGTCAGTTGGATCTTGTAACTTCATATCTGCAACTCTGGAACCAATATTCCTCACGACTTCATAGCAACCTGCTCCTTCGAGTCCCTCTTTTGTAAAAGTTTCAGATATTGCTGGTTCGACTTTGGATACAGTCTCCTTAGGAGTAGTCAGTTCTGAAATATGAATTTATGCATTGAAAATATGATAGTGTTGTGTGCTTTGAGCTTTCCAGCTATATATTAGATAGAAATTGAAGACTTCAAAAGTAGCTAACAGGTAATTTATGACAGTAGTTGAATACTAAGTTGGTGCTAATTTGGTAAGAAAACACATTTAGAAAGACAGTTCTTTCTCTATTTCTAGTTTTTTTTTATCAAAATATGTTTTTAAACAATAGTATAAAAATGATCTCACTTTGATTCAATTCAGATAGACGGCTAAAAGTATAATTTTCCAAGTCATAACTTTTCTCCTCCACTGTAATTTGACAACCAAGCCAGTGTCCAAAACGGCGGGAGTTCTGGTGAAAATGCCAGTAACATTCATAGTGTCCAGGTTGACCTGAAAATTATTTTCAATTGTTATAAGCAGGGTGATCACTGTTATCAGCCGCTGATGTATAATCGCTTACGAGGTATATGAAGAACGACAGTGATTACTCCTTTTTCGCCAGGCTTCAAGTGTGGAACTGCTACAGACCTCTCCTCAGGTTCCAGATCTTTTGAACCCCAAGTGTACACTAGACTAGTCTGAAAGGAGCAGAACGTTTTCTTTTAGTTGGCTACCGACAATCAGAATCAGATATGCTTTAATGTTGAAAAATAATAATAAATAATCCAACACTGCATTAATATCTTCAAAATCGTTATACCAAGCAATGAATCAATCAATTTATTTGTATAATATCTCATTATACTGGATTTTGCATCGCCAGGAAGATTTAAGATTATGACAATACATATATGCGACAAAGTACACTTAAAATTACAATATGATATATGATTTAATATTAAAATTTGAGGTTAAGAAACTCATCGATGTTGTAGGAACACAAATCAACTAGCAGCCCTTTTATATCATTCTCAAGTTTGTTTATATGCAGATTTCTCATATAAGGTGGTAGATGGTTATAGAGCCTTATGGCCATGGTTACAACACTTTTATGGGTCGCACCATTACTGGTTGTATATTCATAAGTAACATATGAAAAAATTGCAAGCACTTGCCATCTCAGTATCCCACTTTTCATATATAGTAAACTTTCTTGAATATTCAAAAATAATAAATACTCTTCAGAATTAGAAGTTTAGAATACAATTTTTTCAAGACAAAAATGCATATGAGTAAATGCAAATGGATCCCAATAACAGACCTTTTATTGTACAGATATATTAGAACATTGATCTTTAGATTCCTTGAAGAAAAAAGAGTGGACTATTATTTTTAATGATTGACCCAAAAATTTCATTTCCAAATTGCCCCAAAAAAATAACAGTACTCAAATCATTTTGAAAATGAAACAATGTTTTATAATCATACTATTCGAAAGAAAAAAGCAAAAAAGGATAGGGTAATCCCGAAGCAAAAAAAAATAACCTATTAAGTGAGCTGAACATGAATTTGGGTTTTTTATTTCTCTTTCAATCATTGAAAATTGCAGTTTTGGGAAAGATACATACTCAGTAGTTGATTAGTAGTCAAAACTATTCATAAATTGATGAAAATAAATTTCATTGAGTGTATTTTATAAATTCAGTGTGCCTTAAAAAATGTGTTACAGTCTTTAAAGGTGAATTTTATGATAAGCAAGTACACTCAGAAGGGCTAAACACAAGGAAGGTTGTAATTTTTTCTCAATATTACTTCTCTAATTTCCATCAGATATATAAATTTCTTTAGGGTGTTCAAGTCAAGAATATAAAAGTAATGAATCATCATTTCAAGTTTTGATTTAGTAATTATATGATTGAAAATGAGCCACACTTGTGTGACATTTGAGTAATTAATATTACTGAGGAAAATTTTCGTAAAACACAATTTCATTAACTGAAATTTTGAATAAAACAAATATTTATTGTATTGATTCAAAAAAAAAAACTAAATACCTCTTAATATTCTCTGTATGACAAAAAACCCAAGACAGATGAATATTTTTAACATTTTATCCAATACTACCCCGGCTTTACACGGGTGCAATTGAGATTTGTAATTTTATTGTGAAATAAAGTTTTCGTCCATGGCTTTGCCTTTCTATCATATCTTCTGAACAAAAGTCTGATTCGAATAATTTAAAGAGGAATTTATATAAACATAGTCAATAGTGTAGTGAAGTAAGTAGGATTTAATGAAAAGTACTGCTGAATTATGGAAACCAAATTGGTGGAGTTTTTGTAGAAGGATCATGTGATTGTGTCGATCAAAGGAATAACTAAAGGCCAAAATGACCCGTCTCTGAACATTTTTTGAAACTTTCAACTGATATGTAAACATACATTTCTCTAGTTGTTCATGGGATCTACTTGTTTTGTTTAATTCTTCGCTAGGATGTTAACATTATTGAAATAAGTTTTGATTATTCAAATATTTGGTTTTTTCTTCAAGTCAAATATATTGAGTGCAGCAAACACCAGAGAAAGGAAAACAAAAATCCGTGACATGAAAAGATACTGTGAATACTCACGTTAGCGTTCCATGGTAATTGTCCGGTATTCTCCACATACCACTGTTGGGTATACATGCCACCGCCATAAAACCGGGGAATGGACTGTTGGAAATTTATTGGTCTGGCATCCATCGGTAGCAATTCATCTTCATGTTCAATTTCTTGGGGAGGATCAGGTCGAGCTCTGCTATTACTCGGTCCTGCTTCGCTGTCGCTGGATTTGGTGAAAAGAGCAAGCTTCTTTTCACGGATTTTTTTAGTTTTGCATTCAAGCTTTTCCAGTTTACGTTCCAATTTTCCCTCCAATTTCAAAGATTTCATGATTTCTTTGGTACTTGAAAAGAATTCATGAGTCATATACTTTTATTTCAGTACATCAGAAATACACAAAAAAATATCGAAATTTAAATTTTCCTATTTCCAAAGATTTCATGATTTCTTTGGTACTTGAAAAGAATTCATGAGTCATATACTTTTATTTCAGTACATCAGAAATACACAAAAAAAAATCGAAATTTAAATTTTCCTATTTCCAAACATGACAGCAGGTCTCTGTTAAAATTTACATAACTTACTCATTAGAAAAGTCAACGACAGGATGGGGAAGTTTCCTGATTCTCTTTGAACTCTCTACCTTGGTTTTGCGAGTATGATGACACACAGGTTGACTTACAGCAATTGGTTTCATGTTTGACACAATTGCAGATACTGTACTTGTCAACTCTTCTGAGAAGTCTTTCTTGAACTGAAAAAAATTGAGACTGAGAAATGTAAATGTATAAGGGATGCTTTACTTTCAGACTTATTTTGATTTCTTTAAAATTATCATTATAAATATCAAAGTGCCGCTATCTGGAATATCTGTAATTCATATGGGGAAATCGTTGTTTTCCCAAATCTTATGAACTTGAACGATTATTCATAAGAAGGAAATTCTATCATGTATCTTCGTATATAAAATTTGTAACACCTGGTACAGGGGCCACTCTGTAATCAAGAAGTTTTTCTAGTCCACAAAGATACGTTTATCAACTTCCATAAAGCATAGAAGAAGTAGAATCCTGTTAGAAGCACAAGGAAAAGAAAAAATAATAAAAGCCTAGAAATACTGGTATGAACCATTTTTCCACATCGCTGTCCTAGTGCTAAACTATCACATCCCAAAACCAACAGTTTTGAGATTATTGGAGGTTAATCATTCATGAGGTTTTGTTTTTGANTTATATTCTGCACTGTGTCATATGTATGTACAAAAATGTATAATAAGAGGAAAATAAATTATTATTATTATTATATAATTTTAATCAGGATTAATCTTTTTCTACCACATTAAAAAGATAAGTCATCACCTAATTCAATAAAAACAGTGAATACAATACAATAACTTTTCATTGCATACAAAAGGACTAATACAATTTGTACCAAACTTATAAGTTTTGAAACAGTGACCTTGGCAAAACTATTCTAATAAAATGTACAATGGCAAATTGTAATTAGAGAGCAAAAACAAAATGAACTTTGTTCATTACACAACATACATTTCTAATGAATCAGGGTCAGTCAGGGATTCCCCCAATGCTCTTTGTTATACCAAACAGGACTGTCACCCTTATGAAATTAAAGTGGATGTAGAACAAATTAATACATGTATCATTAAGTGTCATGTTCCTCCCAAGTTTGGATCAAAATTGATACTCTATCTGAAGAATCAATTACTATATTATATTTTTCCCAACTAGTTAGATCAATTTTAAGCTGATCAAAGCTCCTACACCGAGTTGTTTGATAAATCAGTCAATTGGCAAGTCATTTTTCCTCATGGAACAGACTTCTAGCCCTTGTGGGGCCTTATTCTGCACCGATTGTGGTAAGGATGATTTGTCCAAGATAATTGTTATCTAAATTTGCTTACCTGCGTCATATAAGATATAAACCACTCTGGTGGTGAATCAGCATTGCAACATGTTGAAACAAGAGAAGGCGCTTCATTATCGTACTGAGTTTGTACATCATTGGAATGTCGAATGTTTCTGTGTGTCGGTTGGTCAGAAATTCTATCAAGCTTCAAGTTGACAACATCACCCATTCGAGCTTTGCGGCGAAAAGCGTATAGGGCAATTTGAAAATCTGTCTGGGATTCGATGGGGAACTCCCTATTTCTATCAGTGATGTAGTAAACTTTTACATCATCTCCAACAGTTCCAGAATGTTTTAGCTAAAATGCAGTTAACATACATTAGATAATTGCGGAAGATTTATATAAAAATCTTACCAAATATGATTTGAATATTTCCCAGTTGAGGGTTGTTGCTGGAATATCATACATTCCAATAATGTTTGCTTTGTCACTACCATTTGCCGACATGTTTTTCCATTGCAGGCTGTAAATAATTTCCAGATCTTTCTTCTTAGAATCCATCTTCGAAACTATTCAAATGAACTGAGTATGTTGAACTCTGTTTTTAGGATTGTAAATTCTTCAAAAACACACAAAGAAATTTTTTGTTCTGTTTAACACTTTGACTTTAGGTCGCAGAGTCGAAGCACATAACAAATAACAAACACATCACAAATTATACATGACTCATGACATTTACATTTACTCATTATTGCTGTCAAGATTCCGAACACAGCCGATCGCTCAGTGCGGTGCGGTGATTAATCCCATGTGATAAGAGGGAACACGCTTGTATTTTTTATTTTTTCAAATAATTGATTTGATTCGCAGATATCTCAAAGAGATGTTAAATTCAAGAAATATAATATGAATACTATTTACTATTATCAGGACTTGGGAACATTTTCCTCCACATTATATNAATTTTTATTGTTGTTTTTATTTTATTTTTATCGTTGTTTTAATAAAACTTCATTCTAAAAAAAACTATGATAGTAGGAATTACTAGTTAATATTGTTGAATTTAAATTAGTGAAGTGGACTGTATTATTCAAGAAGCAATGTAGAATATTTCGTCAAAAACTCTTTACCTACGGTATTCTTGATGAAGGAATATTAACAATTTTCAATGTTGTTTATAGTTATTTCAAAAACTACTATGGTTCTTCATCAAGTAACGGCCGAATAGATCAGAAAACAAATATTTATATTTGGGAACGAATTTGATATTAGGTGACAGAATTTTTATTTTACATTATGGTCCATACATTGAAGATCAGAACAAAATACGCGTAACCGATTTCTCTTGAACTATCTAATCAACATTAGTAAAACACTAGTGTTTCTATGCATCTTGGCATTATTATCAAAAACTTTGTTTTTCTGAATGTTCGTGAAACAATGGTGAGTGACATTGACGTTTGGTGAGAGTTATTGAAACTCAAATCGAGTTTGAATTGTAGACTATTTTAAAATTTGAAATTGGGATTTCTAAGACTCATAAAAATCAAAATTGATTGAAATGTATAACTGGAATCTCTGGCGTAGAATACATCCAAAACAGTCACTTTTTCCACAAACTAAAATTGCAATAGGTATTTTTTTCGATGCACGTTTCTCCAACCACGTTGGTGTCTTCAGGAGATGAAGAAACTAGCATTGCATTTGCGTTTTTCTATTTTCGGTGAATACAGAATATGGTATATGAGGTGATTAAAATAAGCATATTTATACTCATAAAAATGCTTTCAGTAAAATTGAAATGAAATGTCATAAATGACGCGTATAAAATTGTGACTATTTTTTTTGCATTAGTACAGACTTTGATCCATAGATGTCATCGTGAACCTTAACAACAGGTTCAAAACATGTTAACTCAGGTTTTGTTAATTGCATTTGGCGCAAGAATAACTTCAATCATTAATATCTCTATCTGTGAGAAAATAACTGAACACATCATCTTTTATTGAAATGATATAATTGTGAAAAGTGAATTTGTACATCGGTAGTGAACATAACATACATGAAAAATGTTATAAATTCAAGAAATATAATATGAATACTATTTACTATTATCAGGACTTGGGAACATTTTCCTCCACATTATATGATAATTAAAGGCGAATTTTGTTTCTGTTTTCGCAGAAACAAAGATAAACTCTCTGATGATGTAGAATCTAGTTTTACCAAAATACGTTGCGAAAATATGTGGCTTCAATATTGTATGCTTTCTTGAACTAGCTCAGACTCTAAATCATTAGGATACACTTTTTCTAAGGACAGATCCTTTTTCGGAAGGGTTGATAATGACAATTCGCTCATTTTGGTGAGAAATGAAGGTATTTCATTGAAAACAGTCATGCCAAAATCTTTTTGATTTCCATGATGTAGCATGTACAAAAAAATGATGTACAAAAATCTGCCGCCCTAGGCTCCAGCCTACTGAGCCTGCTGGTAAATCCGCCAATGATCTGCTGAAGGGGGCGTTTTAATATTCCCGCTCATCCGTTCTGTCCATCTCAAATATAGAATCAAGAGCAAGAACTTCTCAGTTCAACTAATTATGATTCTGTTGACAAACTTTGGAGGCTAGGTGGTGCAACCAGGAAATGATTCACCACCTCCTTATGAATCTATTTTTCACCAAATTCTTGAGCAGTTGAGGCAGAATCTGCATCAAGAGATAGAATAAACTTCCCCGAGCGGGACGGCAAATGCTTTCACTCGAACGATGATTCATAGAACCATAGACAAAAAAAGTCCTGCATGGCCGAATCTTGTGTATCGTCAGGTGAATGAGTTGACTTAGACAGCGACACAACCAACTCAAATAACTAGTTGCATCAATCTGTAAGGATTTCGTAGAAGCATTCACACTAGCGCAATCCGACTGGTTGCGTGCGACTGGACATGCAGGTCACATCGCGATCAGTTGCATTGGTTTTTGTATGTATCGTCATTATTTTCTTTATTTTAAAACAAAATGAACGATGCATGCCAGGAGTAATTAGGTCAAGTAGTTCTGAGAAGGTTTTTGGACTCATCCTATTCATACCTATATTTAAATTTAACCAGGTCATGGAGGTCCCTTGCAGCTACAAACATTCTTCGTTCAAAATTTTTCACAAAATATGGTTGTACCCAAAAACATCTTCTTTATCTCCTACGAGAATACCAAGAAATGCTAACATCCTCGTCTTCTGACGACTCTATTTCGACTCGATTATAGAATCATCGATTGTAAAACAATGTGAAAACATCGATCTCTTGCAACTAATTGCATGAGTCGGTCGTGTGAGTTGCGTGTGTAGCTGCCGTACAGATACTCTCATATGGAAAGGTGGAAATTTTGTACCTTGAACAATACCAATATCGACCAACCAACTATAATCATTTCAGTATGCCATTATGGCTTCCGCAGAGGATATTCCAGAGAATGGTCCACAGGTACGGTTTCAGAGCCAAACATTTCGATCTGTCTGAATGGCTACATGTTACCTGACAGGATCAGGAGAGCTTCCTCTGGCTGGTATGTGGGCAACTCCCTGAAATACGTTACAAGAGATTGTGTTGTTCACCTATCTGACGAAGGTGGACGCATACTGACCACTGATCAGGTCCTCATTAGATTGAGGAAAATATACTAAGGTCTGTCAACCTTAGCGAGGAATGATCTACAGGACATACCTAGTCCTCTGAGGTTGATTTGAAAAGTTTAAAAAAATCGGTACATTAGTAACTGTAGTTATCCCCGTGGATTGGGCTACCCATCGGCCGCGTCCCCAGGTGGCGGATAGGGGAACGGCCAGAGGACTGGAGGCCCTGTCCGTGAAACCAATGTGGTCTTACGAACGGGGTCGCCGGACTCCTGGTCAGTGGAAGAAATAAGTAGGGTGAGAGGAACTAAGACCCCCCAAAAGCCTTTGCAAAACATTCCACCGTGGACCAGCCTACCCAAGCTAAGGTGTGAGCTAAGGTGTGCGACAGCTGAATGGCCGCACGGTGATATGCGGTCACTAACGATCCCCTTGGGAAACTGGGCGAAACCTCATTGTAATCAGCCTACCTCTAGTAATGCGGGGTTCTGCCAAAGGTGACCAACTCTTCCCTTGCTACTTGTGGGAACACACATGAATGAAATAACACAAAAACAGAAACAACAAAAACAAAAACCAATCCCGAGGCTGGACTGAAGTGCTCACCTCAATCTAAGGTGGTGGCTGGGGACGAACAGAAATGTCAACCCCTATCTACCGCTTGGAATGAGGCTGGATATAGCAGATCACCTCCAACAGTCAGGACAATTTCTGCGGCGGCAAAGGCAAGGAACCGGCTGCCCTGCAGGAAAGCTCCCTCACTTGTGCACCTCCACGGAGGGAACCCCAAGAAAGTTGAAGAAGCCGCGCAACGACAGTAATATCGCTGTACCTTCCAAAACCTTCACGGAGGCCACCGTGAGACACCTCAAGGTTGCCAAAGAGAGTGTGTGTTCGGCGAGTCTTGGCCTACACCTGCCAATATGAAGGACATGTGTCATAGTGACCTGTTCACCTTCCTGGAAAGGACAGGATAGACGATGACCTAGGAGGAGAACTCCTCAGGAGGATGTAGAATGGGTCACATGTGACCTAAGTGCTGTGAGTCTACACTCACCCTTTCTACTCTACAGATACCAGATATACAGAGCTGTAGTTATCTTTGTATTTCACCTTGTTGATATGAGGGACTTTGGTGGCTGACGAAAAACTGGTTTTCATGGGATCTATGTCCGATAATGCCATAGAATTTGCTCCAACCTGGACTTCCAATTGGCAGACTACTTTCCCATGGGTTTTTTACCTTTTGTTTGCCACAATGAGCAATTTTTGTTTTACACTCATGAAATCGAAAACATTGTTACATCAACGAAATGTTATCTGGAGAGAAATTTCATTCTGTATTGCTATCTCATCATTGATATCTTAAGGATTCAGGAATATAGTAAGAAAAAGTACAATTATTTTATTCGACTGATATATTTACAAGTGAATTATGTACATTTTGCATAAAAATCGCATACATTATTGAATAAATAAATACACTCTACTGGTATACGTTAAAATTGTTCGGAAAATGGATCCTTTCAGCGTTGTTTGCAAGTTTTTGTACCTAGGTACTTGATATGATGAATATTCTGACTCGCTACGAGGTGTCTTATATGGAAGTCTCAATTAAATATCATTTTTCAATCACACAATGTTTGCACACCATACGTCTCACTTTTCTTTATACGTGGGATTATCTAACCCTATTCTTATCACTTTGTCGTCATCTCCATTTTCATTTGTCTCCCTAAGTTCCTCCACTTCACTAGTCTCCACTGTTACGTACTTGTATTTCATTGCCAAGAAAGTGAATAGAATCATGTCCACTACCATCAAACCAGTATAAAGGAAGAAATCATTGGACTGAAAAAAAATATATTTTTGGATTATAGAATGATACAAACTTTGAAGCCATTGTCTTGAAATAGAATTAGTTAGATAAAGAATGCTTCACATTTCATTGGAAAACCTAATCGAAACGGAGAAATCCTGGTGAGTTTCAATGTTGTGAGTTAACCCTTAGATGCATATTGCTTTTCGGCAATACACTTTCTACTTTCTATTATACCATTAAGACTCACGCTAGCGCAAATATTAATTTGCTGCATGATGAATCCGTTCGACAACGTACTACTTTATAATAGGCTACAAACTTTTGTTGGTAGATGGCGGCCATGTCAGAGTATTATTGACATTTCTCAGTCTGCAGACAACTTTTGAGTAATGTGCTTATATCAGTTTTTCTATTGACTATAGTTTGGGTCAGAGACGTGTTTCGTTTCAAAAAAATTGCGTTTTTACGTCAGAAAGGTATGTCGAATACAAAATATAATAATAGATAAGATAATATTATATATTAGTATACGATAAAGTATATTTTAGTATACGAGGTATCGATCGTTGTCTTGCTTCTGTAATTTTTATTGGTAAGGATATGCAGTTTAGTAACTTGTTTTTACATATTATTTCAGTATGGAAGGGAAAAAGATTCTAACAGAAAAAGATTTGGAACAGTATTTGGGAAATTTTACCGGTTTAAGTGACGACGACATTGATTTTAGCAATACAGATAGCGATGGGGACGGTTTTTTGTCCGAAAGTGAGGATAAAGTAGAAGTGGAACACGCTGAAAAAAGTGCTCGAGGAATTGGTGTTCTAGAAGATTCAGAGGACGTAGAAGATAACTTGCCTATCTCTTCTTTCTGTTCGTTGATACGAAGTAAGGACCCCGTAAAAAAGATATACTTTGGAAATCTAAGTCTTTAATCTTGAATGATGATCAGCTGAGGTTCCATGGAGACAACAAAGTTTCAGAAGAAATTTCAGCCTTGGAACGGTCGTTATAGTTATTCAATTACTTTTTGTCGAGTGAGTTGGTAAAAAAAATTGTTGAAGAATTCAATTTGTATGCTGTTCAGATCGAAATTGATAGAACCATTCTCCTTTACCAAAAATGAGATAAAGCGTTTTTTGGTATAATTATATATACTTCATTAGTAAACATGCCCAACACGAGGCCATTTTGAAGCGATTAACTAAGATTTGCACCAGTAGCTGATGTAATGTCAATCAACAAATTCGAGATGATAAAAAGGTTTCTACGCTTCAACAATAACTACTCTTTCATACCCTTGATCATCCAGCACCTGATAGGCTTCACAAAATTAGGCCAATTGTTGATTGGTTAAACAACAGATTTCTGCTGTTACCTTGGAGCAAAATCTCAGTATTGACAAGCATTATATGAAACAATATATGCCAATGAAGCTCCACCAATGGGGATTCAAATTGTTTGTTATGTCAAGTATTTCAGGATTTGCCTATAAATTCGAAATATATGCTGCCCAAGAACAAAAAGAAGTGCCAGTTGATGAGCGTGACCTTGGAGTAACATCTAGTGTCGTTTTACAGCCCACAGAATAATCTATGAAAGATGCTAGTCGTGGTACAAGTCATGAATTTGTTGCAATAATTGATAGTGTGGATGTTTCATCTGTTATTTGGAAGGACAATAAATATGTGACATTAGTATCCTCATTTGCTGGAAAAAATCCAATTTTGAAAGTGAGAAGATATGATAGAAAGGGAAAAAAGTAATAGAGGTTGATTGTCCATATATTATCACCGAATACAACAAACATATGGGAGGCGTGGATCTGTTGGATAGCTTTATGGAAAGATCCACCTACTACCTTTTAAACTTGACCTTAGTGAATTCTTGGTTACTTTACAAGCGAGTTCATTCTAAGAAGCAACCTGGATGCAAATTATTAAATCAAGTCCAATTTCGTTCAGAAGTAACTTGTGCCATATAAGATCAGCTACCACTGAACGCGATCGCTCTGGTAATAGTTTAGAGCAAGAAATTGAAAATAAGAGAAAGAGAGGAGTGATGAAGCATATTCCGCCAGCGCAGCGGAAGTTCGCGCTGACCAAACTGGGCATTGATAATAAGAAAATGAGATGAAAGCTATCCAACTGCAGAGGATTTACCCATAGCAAGTGTAAAAATTGCAGTGTAGAACTATGAATCAATAAACATAATAATTGTTTCAAAAAATTTCACATTTACATTTTTATCATAATATGCACGTAATGCGAAATATTGCCATTTGGATACAAACCTTTTTTCAAATAAAAAAATTGTTCAGAATGGAATATCATTTTTTTTCTATTTTTCCTTGTATCAGTAATACTCTTACTTCGTAAGAAGGTATNATATTTGTAGAAAGATGCCTCACTAGGACATTGTTTCTAACCCACATGCACTTATTACACAATCATCAAAAACCCAATAATAATAACAATGATCCCAATGTTATTTTTAAGGTTCTGTCATGAGAAGAAAGCTTTTTCTTCTTGAATATTGTTGATATACTAAGCTATATCTGTTATATATCGTTTACATCGTTCTCTATAATTTTCGAGGTCACTGATAGTGAAGCAATTTGTCTGTAGTAGTTAAATTTTCTTGCCTTTTTGGGAATGTCTTGCAGCAAGAATGAAAAATAATATCTTGTAACACAGGTCGAATAATCTACAAAGTAGTGGAACAATTTCATTGTTGACTTTCAAAATTGTATGTAATCAAATGTGGAGAGGATTTCGTTCGTTACTTAGACTTCCGTCCTATTAGTAAACGCACTGATGATGCCGCATTAATAGACGAAACCGTTGGTACTTCAGATACCATTCGACCATGGCCTACTAGTCCAGATTCTGTACTCTTCAATCTCCAGTCGCTTTTTATGTCTATTTGATTGCTTTTGTTGTTATTTTCAGTCCAACTTTACAGCATTTTGTCAAGTCAAGTTAAATTCATTCTAGATAAGCTCAACTTCTTACCTGCTTTTCGAATATTTTCGCAGACTCAATTATGACAATGATCAAGTTTCCGAATGCAGTCGTCAGGAGCCAGCAGGCTTGCATCAAGGATTTCATGGAACTTGGCGCTTGCGAGTATGAAAATATACTTCAGCAGATTCTCTATTGATTCATCTTCCATTTTTTCAGATTGTGGAAAATGATGAATCCAAAAAAGCAGTGTGAAATATTGAGTCCTCCACAAAAAAGCCGTTCAAAGAATATTTACAAAATTATCTATCCATCATTATATACCACGACACAATAAAATAAAAATGTATTGAAGAACTTTCGCCAATGAGAGCCAGGCAAAAACGGCCTTCGTTGACGTCATAGAATCCCGAGCACACAATTTTTATGATGACGCAACTTGTGTTACGTTGGCAAACGTGCCCTGATTTAAATGGGGATTATTTTGATTAAATTGATTGAGTATCCACTGAGATATTACACTTTAAAGTAGACTCATAAAAACGGACAAAATTTTCGAAACAACCCAATACAATTATAAGTGGACACGGCAAATTAGCTTACCAGCTACATTCTAGTCTTCGAACAATAATAATAATAATTATTTAGCAAATCTTCTCAGAATTATTACATTGATTATTGAAAAGCATAAAGGTGTCCTAGGTTAGGTCTAGTTTAGGTTAGGTTGGGTCTAAAGTGAGTGGGTCTACTCGATCATTCACTGCAACCCGCAAGGGTTTATTGTGGCTCACACCTATTCACACTCGACCAAATAAATCCAGCTTCTTAACGAAGCCGATTAGTTTNCCTAACTGAAATGGTAGCTTATTAATTTGTATGGTGAGTGGTCTTTCAGGTCAGATGGTAAGAGTACGGCTCTGCCGAACTCCAAAAATCTGATTCGGTCCCCATAATATGGGGGTTCCATAATATGGAACCCCAGACAGTGTATTCTCGAGCCATTCATCCATTAATCTTTCTTGGGATTCAAGCCCCGTATTGTTTGAAACTGGGTTGGAATCAAATGGTTTGATGTCGATCTTGATCAAGATCAATCGAATTTAGTGTGAAATAGAGAAATTTATGGTAATGGGGTCCTATAAACGTTGGATTTACTACAACTGAACGAAATTCCAGACGGACCAAGAGTATGTCACCTGCTCGTATGCTCTGAGAAGACCGAAAATAAACAAAACTTATTCGTTCCAGAATCACTTTGAAGCAAATGGTCATCGTTTTTCCTAGAAAATCGGGTTCTAATGGTACCATTGAAAGAATCGAGGATTTTTTACGTTAATCAACTGTTTTCCAAGACTAACAGTCCAGATTAGGAAAAAGGCAATATCTTCCTCATCTGGCATATAATTTAACGATTTTTTTCTGCTTCCAAATGTTGAAAATACAAGCAAAATCATTTTCGAAGCCTGATAGCGGTTTTTCAGGACGTCAAAACATATGCTTTCAAAATATTTTTCATGTGTTCTTCCCCACTTTTGAATGAAAAAGAACTGCTGGTGGTTTATGAAGATTTAAAAGGATTTACGTAGAGTCATATATAATAGGTATTGTATACTTCAGTGCCGAAATTACCATTAGACCAGTTGGTATTATTGACAGGAACAGTATATTGAAAAACGTGGAGGTAATATTTCAAATGTCCATCAGTCATGACCAGCGACTCTGACACCGAAGCCAAATTATTGACTTTCGTTTGCAAATTTTAAATTCGTTACGATAGGGATCCCTGTTTTTGAAATTTAAATACTATGTTAATCACTGACAATTTAGCTTACTATAGGTGAAATAGTATTTACAATCGGTTGAGTAGTTTTTCAATTTATCTATTACAAATGAACAAACATTTTCTCTCCATAATATTAGAATATATGCAGTGACGGCTCGTGCATTGGAGAACAGGGGAGGCTTAAGTCGTATAGGCTATATACACACAGAAAACCCGCCGGAGGTGCGAAAATTTTAATGTTGTTGCACGCTTTGCTTAATACTTAAGTTAGGGCATGGGCATGACAATGCGTAAAAAGTGTATGAGGAGCTATGGACTTTATTTTAGTTTGTAAACCATTTAAATGGCCGGCCATGACCGCATCCCCATCATAGGTTTGCGCAATTAACTTTTGCCTAAAATTATAGATATCACACGTACGAATTAAAAAATTAAACAAATCGTCAGCTGTGCGCCCAGATGAAACATTATGAAAACCCATAAAACGTTCTATCACATTACCNGCGATGAATAGCCTCAAATTTTGTGGGGAGGCTAAGCGTCCCTTGCCTCCTCTGACGAGCCGCCGCTGAATATATGAACTCTAAAAGTGTATGAGATTTGGTACTTACTTCATTCAACATGACTGTATAAATTCCCCCTAAGGAAAACTTAGAAGAGAACCTTTCCCCATTTCTTCTTCCAAATTCATATTTTCCCGGTTCTTCTAAAGATACTAGCCCATCATTTCCAGCTAAAACGGCAACTGAATAAGTTTCCATTGTGTAGGTTACGTTTTCATCAGCTGAGTAATCCAACGTCCTTCAGAAGAAACAAAAGGGAATTAGAGGTTGTTAAACTATTTTCAAATTGTATCACGTGCTAAGGTGGAAAGTGCTTCAATTTTCTGGAAATATGGAGATATAGTTGAACTAGTCTGAAGAGAGGATTTTTATAGGAGAACATATATTGTTTCACATTCATTATGGTAAAAAAGTTACGAGATTGCAGAGAAGTCATTCCACGTAATATCTGAAAAATGGATCTCAAAATTTCAGTAAAATATCAAACATTTTTTGTGATTGCTATTGAATGAAGAACTTGAAGTTCATACCAGTTTGTTATTGAACCATTTCAAATAATTGAAAGTGAAATTTTTGGTATTCTGTGATTGCTACACAATACAGCAAATGAAAGGGGTGACACACATCTTTGTATGGAGTTGATATTTTGAAACTGTGCTTCCTACCTTCCATTTCTTTCGTATGAAGATGGAGAAGTAGGAAGCCGAAACTTTTCTTCCCCAAAAAAAGTTGTTATACATTTTTACTTAACATATGTCAACTTCCTTATACCAGCATGTGTTAGGTTTTGAAAATTTTCACTGAACCAAAACAAATAATATACTGGAAACTCACCTCACTCTCGGAAAACCAATTTCACTTTTCGCAATGTCATCCAGGTAGTAATGAATTTCACCATTTGCGAAATAAATACCATACGAATTTCCTCCTTTTACTGGGACAGATATGTTTCGAACACTTTCACAGGTTGCACAAGATAACTGGAAAGTTAAAGTTCTGTGTTCCAAAAGCTCAATGTCCGTTTTCTCGTAGTAACCCATACTTTCAATACTCTGATTCTTCAAGTTGAGTTCATCTACGGAAATAGATACATTGTACGGAGACGGATTGTATATTCGCAGCTGAATATTTCCTTCAGATGGCAAGATTGGGTCAGTATTTTCCAAGGCAATTGACACCAAAGCAGACAAGGCAAACGNTACATTGTGGGGAGACGGATTGTATATTCGCAGCTGAATATTTCCTTCAGATGGCAAGATTGGGTCAGTATTTTCCAAGGCAATTGACACCAAAGCAGACAAGGCAAACGCAACAGCTGCTAACATGCCTCCTGCAGCCATTCTTTGCAGTGGAGTCTTCAACAAGTTGCACTTCGACAGGAGAGGATAAACCCAGTAAGAGAACATTGGAATGAAAGCTAGAATAAGCAGCGGATTAACCACTTGCATCTGGTCAGGAAGGATCGTGTAAAATCCCATGTCTCCATCCATTCGAACAGCTTGAAGGGTCCAACCTGACCCTTGCTGGTGGGATAGCGTCCAAAAGAAGGGAAGAGGAAGATAAAGTACCAGAACACTTAGAGTGGATTTGATGTCGGTCACCAATTTGGCGCCATATTTTTTTTCTGCGTGATCAATCCAGTGGTCCTTCTTGTCTTTCGATCTGATTTTCTTTTTGATTGCGTACTGAAACAGAAATAGTTGGATTCACCTAGTCCAGCGGTTCCCAAACGTTTTTACGGGACCCATTTTAGCCCGTATGTTTTAGCCGTGACCCCCGTTTTAGCGCAGGTGTCTGTGAGGGGAAGGGCAAAGGTAGAGGGGCTAGCTATAGCAGAAGCAGTGGATGGGGCGGTCCTTAGGTACCCAAGATCGGGCTACAAAGAAGAGCTGAGTATTACATCTTAACATCTGTGGCTCTGAGAATTATCATGCCCTTTGCAACACCCTTTCTCTGCGAACTCGGATTTTCTATATTGGTCAACATTAAAACTTAGCCAAGAAATTGGCTGGACGTTGGAGACGACCTTATTGTATGTGCATCTAAAATTTTCGGGTATAATCCAACGCTGTTCGTGGTATTAGCCAGTGAAGTAGTTGTTTTCTGAAAGGTGTCAGTCCATTCAACCTACTGTGGGCTTGCACATTTTAAGTTCATTTCTTTAGATTTGAAACTGAGCCAGATTTTAAGAAACTTTTTGACAAAAACAGGCCCATATTTCTCATTGAAGAAGTCATTTTTACTTAGAAATTACATATCAGAATGATTGAATGATTATGTTTTGTTTGACAAAATCTGTAGAATATATAGTGGCCGATACTTGATGAAAATCTATATTAAAACTCATAAATAAACTGTATTCACGAGTATTTTTATATAGTGATATTTTGTGATATTCAAAACTCTCGATGGCCGTCTGAGTTTGAGTACAGAGTTAACCATCATTTATATACATCTCGCGACCCCTTTGCGAATGACCCGCGACCTCTCCGGGAGCCGCGACCTCTAGTTTGGGAACCGCTTACCTAGTGTATTGCTACCTATTGTATTACTCTACCACTCAAATAACAGCCCTCGTTAATAAAAGCTAATGAATTTCATCGTTCATCTGTTGACAGTTTCAGTCATTTTGGACGTCCAAAAACGTGTTCGAATTAACATTTCCAACGCTCTGTTGGCGCAGTTTAGGCGCAATAAATCCGAGTTTTGACGCCAATTAATTACTGTAGATGTAAGTTGGACACACCATTATACGCTAGAGACCAAAATACAGTCCAAACAGTGGACGGCAAAGGTGGAACCGGCTTTAATAAAAGCAAAATTTTTTTTGGCTGGGAAAGTGATGGCGACTGTTTTTTGGGATAGTCAAAAAGGAAAATTCATTACAGGAGCATACTGCTTATCATTACTTGCGTAAAAACGGCCACATTTGCAGAAAAAAAGTGTTTCACTAAGATAACGCCTCACTCACCAGATCTAGCCTCAAGCGACTTCTTTTTGTTCTCTCATCTGAAAACTGCGCTCATCTGAAAACTGGCAGTCAAATATATGCGTAATTCCGCATATATTTGACTGCCAGATTGATAGACCAACATACATCTAAAGCTCCACCGTTTGTTCAAAAAAAGAAAAAACAAATTCTATTAAATACTTGTAACGAAGATATCGCTGAAAATAAAAGCATGTCTGATGAAGCAGGTACACAGGGAAAGACCTTTGATGTTGGAAATCGAGTTAATAAACAAGTTTTTCGAAGATCAAAAGCTACACAGACCGTAAATATTATATACCTACCACAGAAAAAGAAGGACAGTGAGAATTCGAGTATATCAGACATGACTTCTGTTGATACATCATCAGATTCTACTTTGTCTGGAATATTTGTTCAAAATTGGAATTCGAAAAACAATGTTTGTTTGAAGGTGATTGACAATGTTTTATGATGAATTTCACTAGTTCGGACTTCCATTGTCTACTGTACAAAATGATTCGAAATCCCTGAAACAACTTAAAAAGAAGAATTAAAAATGAATAGCTGAAAATAACAATTATATTAAGCAAAAAAACCTGACATGAGATAATAGTGAAATAAAATACAAGTAAAAATAGAACAATTGAATAAATAAAAAATAAAGAAATGAAAAAAGAAAAATAAAATAAAAAGTGGAGAGATTCCAAGTCACGTTAGTTCACGACGTTTCGATTGTTAGTATCTACAATCGTCTTCGGGTGATGACTGGACTTTCCATTATGTAGGTTATGTTTTCATCAGCTGAGTAATCTAGCGTCCTGAAGAAAAGATATAAAATCGGATTTGAGATCGCTGCATTATTCTAATAGAGTATTTGGTGCTGAAGTGGAAAGTCATTTATTTTTTATGAGAAATAAATTTTAAAACATTCTAAAAAACGTAGATACTTCTAAAAAGATAGTAAGATTGTTCAACTCGAAAATTGTGATATTCCTTTAGGCCTGTGGAATGTAAATGGAACAAACTAGTATTTTATGTAGTACCTAAGGTATATAGTGAATTGCTTTTCAGTAGAAAATGTATGGAAGAGAACAGGAATAAACCAGTTTCGCAGACATCTTCAAAGATGTGCGTGCATTTGCTTGCTATCTATTACTGAACGTTATATTGATCGTTATTCTATAGTCCTAAATCCCGTAGTCGACAAACTAATAATAAATAGATTGATTAATATGTAGTTACGAATGTGTGCATGTGCAAACATGTGAGCCTGATAATTTTACCAAATAATGTACAAAACCGCACTATGTAAAAACTTTCTAGGTGTGTTTATCTAAATTCTAATAAGAACTATCTGTGTTCTCATTCAACCTCATTCATCATTCACCAATTTCATCATTGAGAATGAAGTCAAGATAGTACAGCTTGTGAAATCTAGGAAGCGACTTCGAAGTCTCGGCTAAGGACCTCTCCAGAGATGCGCGTGATAGAAAACCCTAAAGACGATCGGAGCTCAGTCCGAGAATACCTACACAGGTATTCTCGGGCTCAGTCTTAACGACAATTTTGTAGTGTCCACTTCGGTGAAGCATAGTACGCGACAAAAGTCTGTGCTCTAAGAAAATGGCATTCGAATCGAAATTGAAACGAAAAGTTTTGTGTGGTCAAGCGAGAGAATTATATTTCAAATTTGTTCGATATCTTTCATCCACTTGTGATGCACTGTTTGGAACCTTTGGTGTAGTAATATTACTGGAGTTTTTTGCCCACACCAAACCGTTATTTTAACACATCGACACGTATTTCGATCACAAAGTGATCTTCTTTCAAGAGGAAAATCAAACTAAACTTAGTTTGAACTAAACTCAGTTTAATCTTTAAAAGAAAGATTAAACTAAACTTAGTTTGTTTGATCTTCCTCTTGAAGATGATGACTATACTTAGTTTCAGCTTTCTCTTAAAGATGATCACTTGGTGATTGAAACACGTGTCTAGGTGTTAAAATAACAGTTTGGTGTTGGCACTCAACAAATTGATCGATGAAGTTTTGACATGTTTATGTCAGGTTTCAATTACTTTCTGGTCTTCACTAAGAATTGAATTTTCCTATTGTTGACAAAGATGTATATTGAAAATGCAATGATTAAATAGACAAGTTTTATAGGCCCTTGATGTACAGGAGAAGAGGTCAGAGATAATACTAGAGTAGATGAGAAAGAGGTCAGAAAGATGAAGAGAAGAAGAGTTAGACGAAGATCCATTTATGGTCACTGTTGTGTCATTTTGTATTAAAAAAACTTTGTGAACAGTTTCATCGATTGATTTATTTTATTCTTTCTTTTTGTGGAAGTTCATTCAATTTCTATATAATTATGGAGAAATGAGAAGCCAAAAGGTTTCTATCCCAAAAAATAATCATCCGTAAGAAATTTTCCTCTTTCTACATACTCTTTTTCACCATTTGCATAAATCGATATGACGATGAATAGAAAACATTACCTTGTTTTTTGCATCTTGTCCCATCTTGTTCATGTCCATTTGAGACCGATTATACGAAAGTGAGGTAACTAGGATCCTACGTTGTTTTATTATCACACAACATGAATTAACTTTTGATCGGAAATATAACAGATAGATATGATCTAACTGCACAATCCTTTCCCTCAATCGGTGGGATCAACTCCGTACAATTGCAGGATATTTATGCTGCATTCTGGGCATATTTAAGTTTTTTAATCGGCATTGTACTAACTGTGCAACTCTTAACTATATCACGTTTTGAACTCGAGCAGGAACAATTCGTCAATGGCTACAAATATAGTCGGTGAGAGGATTAACAATGATTTAAATTGTTAATATATTTACAATTCTTATCGAGTTTACCCGTAATCCACCTGTTGCCTTTTAATGTTCAGAATGAAAAGTGCCTAAACATGTCCTCGAGGAAAGATGATATGAGAGAATGGTTAAGACGACGGAGCATTCATTTCACGGATGATATGCTGAAAATTGATCTTTTATTCCATTAATAAAATCCATAAACGACGATTCAAGTTGTATGAAATTGATAGGATTATGGAAAATCAATGACAAACTATACTCAGATTGCTTGCTTATCATCCAGATTTGAACCCAATAGAATTCGTATGGGCATCACTGAAACAATATGTGGCTGATGAAAATATGGACTTCAATTTCAAATTCGTTGAAAGTTTATGTGACGAATTCTTCACTTCATTTTCTCAAGAGCAGCGGAAAAAATTTGCGAACACGCTGATACTTTCGAAGAATTTTATGCTTCGAAAGAAACTTGCTCTTGACTTTGCAATAGACAAAATTATAATAAATATTCAGGGAGGATAGTGATAACTCTACAAGCGATTCCAATCTGTCTGGAGTTGAGCCTTTGTAATTTTTGGATCACAACACAAATTATTTTTGTTTGCATTCATTCATATTAATAAATATAATGTTTTCCGAAAAATTTTCATTTTGAAATTGAATCCTTAACCCAAATGAATTACATTATCAGAATAGGTCTCTCAGGTCACTCGAAAACCCAAATAGGCGCACTAAGTAGCACGGTAGATTTCATCATTTTCAATCTTAATGGATTATTCTCTGTTGTTTACACAGGTGGCGATATACAACAAAACAAGTCACTTCAATTACATTATCAGAATAGGTCTCTCAGGTCACTCGAAAACCCAAATAGGCGCACTAAGTAGCACGGTAGATTTCATCATTTTCAATCTTAATGGATTATTCTCTGTTGTTTACACAGGTGGCGATATACAACAAAACAAGTCACTTCAATTACATTATCAGAATAGGTCTTTCTACCTTTCCTTGATAAACCCGAAATTAAATGCAATACAGACTGCAGAAAAATGAACTTATTCAAATTCAATTACGTGAATGCCGTATTATCATACTGAACTAATAATTGACCATCAATTAAAAAACCATCACACTTTATTGCTACTCTCAGGTCACTGGAAAACCCGAATAGGCGCACCAAGTAGCACGGTAGATTTCACCCTTTTCAATCCTAATGCATTCTTCTCTGTTGTGTACGCAGGTGGCGATATGTAACAAAACAAGTCAATTTCTAGATTTGACAAACTTTAGTATCCAATTCTATTTCGACACAAGGCAACTTCTTAAATTTGCTGATTTCTTGATATTCCAAAAGTTTCAGTTAACCATCGTCTTTCAAATGTAATACATTTTAGTCATTATTATTTTCATGCACACTGCCAGAAGATGGTTTGGAAATTTTGACTTGTTTGCTCATTCGAATAACTACTTTTATGTTCTTTCATAAGAAGAAGAGCAATATCTGCCATGATTTATCATGTGCAGATATTGAATTCTGTTCATGTGTTAGGTTAGTTTAGCATTTATTATCAAGAAAATTCTTTTCGTTTGGCTGATATGAAAGATGTAAAATGAATCACAAGTCAACACCCAACACAAGTCACAACCACTTCTTGTACTTCCCCACATCAGAGGATTGTCGGAAAAGATCAGAAGAATCGAGTCCAAGTATAACATCAGAACCTGCTTCAGCACTATCCAGCTGCACTATCCGTAGCAGCCTCACGAAAACCAGGCCACCAAACGCGGACTGCGGTTCCAAGAATTACATTTACCGGATACCCTGCGAGTGCGGAGAATTATACTTCGGTGAAACTAAGAGGCCATTGAAAGTTCGCATTGCCGAGCACAAGAAATACACACAGCGAGAAGCAATCAGCAAATCAGGAATAACAGAGCATGTTTTGACTCATCAACATAACATTAAGTGGTCTCAAGCTGAAATTATCCACAAGGACGAACACTGGTTTAGGAGAAAATTAAAAAAAGCCGCATATATGTTGTTCAACAACATATTTAGCCAAGCTAGCATAGAGATACGAAACAAATGGAAACCTATAATCAAGCGGAGAATGGCTAATTCTCGCCAAAAGGCCAGCTCTCGCTAAAACCGATGAAGTGGAGAGAGGGAAGACGGGATAGGTGAAAGCACTCGAATGACCTATAAATAGTCAGCTCTTGGAGGAATGAGTTCACTCATCACCCGAAGATATTTGTGGACACTAACAATCGAAACGTCGTGAGGTAACTCGGCATGAAATTTTAATTTTAATTTCTTTTTGATTGTTCAGTTTTCAATTGTTGCTTGTATTTCATTTCATTGTGATTCCAGTTTTTTGCTTGATACAATTGTTATTTTTTTATCTAATCTAATGCTAAACAATAACATTGTTAACCACCTTCAAACAAAATTTTTCTTTATATCAGAAGAATGCTTTATTCTTTATTGCAGCTGTGAAAAAGAATATGTCAACAGGCGACTTGTTTGTTTATGCTATGTCTATATCCTAATTGATGCTATCAGTTTATTCAGAAAGGTTAATGTTGGAGCCATGTTTTATCCATCGTCACATATCCACGCATAAATTTAGGTTTTTCATAGTGTTACAACTTCGAACACTGTTCAGAATCATCAATTCGTTGTTATTTTCGGTCAATTATGATTCAATACTAGTAGCACCGTGTGTGTGAGAGCCAAGCTACGGTATGATGTTCTTCTCATGAGGCTGCTAAATTTTATCAAGAAAAGCGACACCAATATGCTTCTCTTCAAGAGAAGCAATTGCAATTGCATGAAAGTTTTCACTGAATGTGTTTTAGTTTTTGGAAGGTGAGTATATCCTTCAGAAATGACCACAAACTTTTGGTATGAACAGAATCATCTTCATTTTTCAACATTTCTTCTACCATGCTCACTAACTTACCTATTGACAGTATCATCAAAACTCCGGGTAATGCGAAGGCAAGTGGATAACAGCTATTCTCGTCGAAACAGTGGACATTTTGCCTCAATACCGGAGTTACAGAAGTCGATATCAAACTTCCGGCGTTGATCGAAAAGTAGTAAAGAGAAAAAAACAAGGCCAACTGAGTCTCCTGCTGCGGTAGGATGAACTGATCTCCCCCAAAAGCGGCAACGCAGGGTTTGATTCCTCCGGTTCCAACAGCGATGAGCAAAAGTCCCAAGATGGAAATTTCCCTCTGGGGAAAATTCAGCAGTTTTATGGATGTGAGAGCCAGGAGAATACTTCCAACCGCGTATATCATGGACACATATAGTATAGTCCTAAACTTTCCTAAGTAACTGTCCGATAAGATAGCGCCCAGAACGGGGAAAAAGTAGGCGAACATTGTGAACGAGTGATAAATGATCTTGGCATCTGCTCTTGAGTACTGTAGAATGTCTGTGAGGTAGATGACGAGGATGGCTGAAAAAAAAATGAGTGAAGATATTGAAATGCTACTTTAGATTTTGCGAAAGTCGAAATGACAGTTTTTCTAACAACAGAAACATCGTGTGGGGAACCTACTAGCTGATTTTATTATTCAGGAACAATTTTCAATTTGATTCTGAAACCACTATACAACTCAGTTCGTTACGTTCGACAGAGAATGTAACAAAATAAGGTATTGAAAGAGTTCTTTTGCAATTTCCACACTAAAATAATAATGTTGAGAAATGGGGTTGAAAAAAAGGTAATTTATACCAAAAAAAATCGCATTTATTTATTTCCATCTATAGTATATCCATAGAAAAAAACGTTTTACGTTGGTGCCATTGTACTAATTAATATACGATTTTTTTTTTTCGAAAAAGCCACGAGAAACTCATCATACATATGGTTCGAAAAACATAAATAATTCTGTCCCTGATTCAAAATGTTTCAAATAACATGAAAAACAAAATCATCATCATCAAAATCGGAGCTACTTCTGATTTCCAGAGATAATAATAATTGTACTGGTGATGTCATGTCATATATTCCAAACCGGTGACACCACTCAAGCCAGTGTCTGAATTTTGTGAATTTTTTCATATAATTGTGTTCGATTTGATATCAATTTATCTGTAAGTTATGTTTATTTTTCAGGTAAGTCTGTTTCCGGGTTTGTGTATTTTGGATCATCACAAGGATTATTTCCACAATGTTTCGGCAAAGTATCATTTGCCATTTTCTGGTGAAGTCTGAAGTTTAGGACCAAACCATAAGTGGAACCACCTATTGGTGTGACACCAAAGTCAATTTGCCAAGTTTTTATGTCAGTATTGGTGATTTGACCAATCAACCGACAATTATGGTAGTAGACATTTTGGAAGTTATCCTGGAATGCCATTGGAAAACGAATCCACATGTTTCTATAAATGATATGAAATCGAGAACCAATTGTCAATTGCGGTAGCAGAATTTGGGAAATTATCTTGAAATGATTTTCATTGAATTATTTTCCAGCAGTTCGACTGCATAAACCTTTCTCGATTTCATATCATTTTTAGAAACATGTGGATTCGTTTTCCAATGGTATTCCAGGATAACTTCCAAAATGTCTACTACCATAATTGTCGGTTGATTGGTCAAATCACCAATACTGACATGAAAACTTGGCAAATTGACTTTGGTGTCACAGCAATAGGTGTTTCCACTTATGTCTCGCTTGTGTTTACGCAGTTATTTTTATCAAGTACTTTTCTTGATTGTTCACATTTTGTCTTCCGCCGAGAAGGCGTTGGCTTTTGCAAACACAATGGAGAGTCAGTTTCAACTTTACGTTGATCCGGATGATGATATTGACCGTGATATCCGGCTGGAACACCGGGTTTGGCGCATTCTTAGGGAAGATGACGACGACGTGATCCGACCAGCTTCGGAAGGAAAACTGAGGGGGTACATTAGGGCCTCCAAACCCAAGAAGGCTCCGGGAGTTGATTCAATCAACAATAGGTTAGTAAAGCAGCTTCCAGAGAACTTCATCAGATATCTGCTGGACATTATTAACAGTTCAATCGCCCTCAGATACTTTCCTCGAAGATGGAAGCATGCCGTGGTTGTCATGATTCCGAAACAGGGATTAGAACCAGCTGTTTCCCCAGAATCATCGTCCGATTAGTCTGCTTTGCTCAGCGGCTAAGTTGGCTGAACGTGTTGTGTTGCAAAGGCTAACTGAAGAAGTTAAAGTCCGAAATGTTCTGCCTGATGAACAATTCGGTTTCAGGAGGGCACACTCCACCGAACTGCAGGCCCTGAGACTGGTCGAAAATTCCATCTCAGAGCTGAACAACAGGAAGACAGTCCATCTTGTCCTCTTGGACATTTCGAAGGCTTTCGACCGAGTCTGGTACGAAGGCCTATTACACAAAATGCTCGATTTCGATCTGCCTCGGGGCCTGGTCCGGTGAACTAGGTCCTTCCTGAAAGGCGGAACATTTCAGGTCCGAGTTGAAGGAACCCTGTCTCCTGTCAGGAAAATCCAAGCTGGAGTGCCTCAGGGAGCTGTGCTGTCTCCACTATTGTACAGTCTTTACGTGAGCGACCTTCCGAAGTTCGATCACGTGAAGGTTTCCCTTTACGCCGATGATACGGCTCTCCTCGCCTCTTCCATGAGTCGGGCGTTGGCGGTCGTTTACATGCAACGAGCATTGGACGACCTCGAACGCTGGTACCTGGAGTGGAAGATCCGGGTGAATCCAGAAAAAACTCAGACGATAGAGTTGGGGAGACGTAACGTTTCTCCAGACACAAGGGTCACGATCTCAGGAAGGGAGATCGAATGGCAAACGCGAGTCAAATACCTAGATCTTTGGGTAGACCGCCGACTTACCTGGGCAAATCACATCGACTATATCAAGAGCAAAGTCCAATGGAGGATAGCCAAACTCTAACCTCTGATTAAAAACTCAAAGCTCAATCTTCAAAATAAGATTTTACTTTACAAAACGATGTTCAAGCCTGTCATCTGCCTGGGAACAAACCGCTCCGTCAAATGTTTCCATTTTGGGAAGATTGCAAAACAAACTTCCTAAGATGCTGGTGAATGCTCCATGGTTCGTGCGGAATGAAGCCATCCGCAAAGATTTGAAGCTGTTAACCATTCGGCAGTCCATTCAGTCAAGGAATCAGAGAGTTTTCGAGTCAGCGGAAACTTATGATAATCCATTAATTAGGGAAGCTGTAGATTATACTATACAGGCTGATTCACGGTGGATGGCACATTAGACGTTTCTGGTGAACCAGACAAGGGATCACTTTGAAAATTTAATGGAGGTCATATTCGGACATTCTCTAGCCAACTAAAATATTTTCGACAATGCGGTGTTGCCGCTTCTATTAGAAAGCAGTAGCAACTTTGGTATAATTTGAAATACTTACTGCTCATTCCATAATAACTGAACCTTTCGCAAAACTCGTTGCAGATGATGAAGAAAACCGACTTGGGATAGGGTAATTTCTGAAAAAAGAAAAGCAATGAGAAAATACTCTAATGAAAGTCCCTTATTATCAATATTATCTTAGAGATGATGAAGAGACACATTTTTTCAATTTATGAAAAGAAAATATATATTTTGTTTTTTTATTATTTCTTTACGGTCTGGAGATCCAAACAAAACTATTAACCTTGAATTGATTAGGATTCTAACAATGTCATTATTCGATCAACCAATAACACAATCCTTCGGTGAGTAAATGAATGAGATGAAATGATGGATAAAGAATGAAGAAACGAGAATTGAAACTTTGTATGAAAGTGGTTAAAACATAGAAAGTTTAAATTCTTTTTTCTTCATTATGATTTTTTACCACATAGTAACGGCTACATCCATCAATTTAATCGATAAAGAAATTGTAGAAGCGACATTCACGCACTTCCGTCGGTTCTTTTGAAGTCAATTCTCTCCAATCCTAATTATATCTTTAATCGATGAGTTGGGAATTCTTGTGGACTGTACAAGCTGTTTCAATTTGACGATGGCATTGAAACAATTATACAAGGAATGAATATGCTGATCAACTGATACTCTAGCAAAGTATTTGATTGATTTGATCTTCACAGGCTTAGTAAAATCCTAGAATTGAGATAATTGATGTTCAATAGTATTATAGGCAGACATGTAAATATATTTCAAAAATTTTTATCTCAACATCGCCGAACAGATTTTCAAGAATTTCATCAAATAAATGTTATTAACGATAAGTTGAATTTCTTGCATGAAAATATCTTGGTAGTTTTTATACCCGTGCACCAATTGATAGCGAATATGAATAACAAAAGTATATACCCCTCAGATCACAGAAAAAAATCAGGCTAATGATCGCTTTGAGAAACACCGCTTATACAACTTATATGATATGCATAATGGAAAAAAACTCATTATCAACATATAATGCATACAAGTGGAGTAGATGAAACGTGGACAAGTTTGGAACTTTGCCGAAAATAAGGACAATAAACTGACTTCTCTCAAATTGTGAAGAAAGGTTATTTGATAGATACGGCTGGTGTAAACCTCGAGTTGGAATTGGTCTGCTGAAGACAACCAGTGATGCAATTGAACCCAGGTTTGTGTTTAATGAACCCTACAAAATACAAATGAAACAGAACACAGAGTTAGATGCCACAAATGCAATACGCATATATACAGACGGTTCAAAAATCAGAGAAGGCTCAGGATGTGGAGTGTACTCCAGATTACTGAGCCTAAGGATTAAGTGGGGAATGGAAAAAAATACCAGCGTGTTTCAAATAGAACTGGCTGGATCTCAATCACCACAAAAGAAATAACAAGGAAGGGAATTTCTGGCGAAAACATAACAATCTCCACTGATAGCTGACAAGCCCTATTAGCCTTGAACAGATAACGTGTTTCCTCAGGGCTAGTACTAGAGTGCCACAAAGATTTAGCCAAATCTTTGGTAGATAATGATATTATCCTGAGGTGGATAAAAGAGCACGACATGAGTAAAGGTAATCAGATTGCCAACTCTTTAGTCACGGAAGCGGATGGACTGAAAATTTTAGAACCCACTGGACCCTACGGCCTGATGACATTGACAATTGCGGAACTAGCCAATGTTACACCCATGCTGAATCCATAAAGAGATGGGATGAAATCAAAGGATGCAATCTTGCCAGGATCTCATTGGGCGAGCCTGGGAAGGTGGCACTGAAGAAATATCTGGCGATGACCGGGAAAAATCTACGCTTAGCAGTAGGATTTCTGACTGGCCACTGTCAACTAAGGAAACACCTCCATAATATGGGGCTAGAGGAGTTATCATCAATAAGAGAGTGTGTGTTCGGCGAGTCTTGACCTACATCTGTCGATATAAAGAAGATGTCTCCCAGTGACCTGTCCACTTTCCTGGAAAAGGCAGGATGGACGATGACCTAGAAGGACAACTCTTCGGGAGGATGTACAATGGGTCATATTTGGCCTAAGTGCTGTGTGCCTACACCCACCCTCCCTAATCTTGGGTTCATCTATTTTAGCAAATGAAAATACAGGTTTAGATTCGAGGAATTTTAAAGACGAGTTAGGTAGAGAAAATAAAATTTTTGGGCAGAACCGGTTATTGGAGAAATTGGGAATTTTATGAACAAGATGTTGCTTTTATGATAAAATCGGAACAGAAAAATTATCAGAACGAAATGGGTTTAGAAGATGATGATTTAGGATGACTGGAATATTCTTCAGATGACTTAATTGAAACTATTAGCATTGAGATATCCGATAGAGTTTTCAAAAGTGACTGGAGAAAAATAATATTCAATATCCAGTCAGTTGATTTAGTTACACAGAAGAACCCTCGAGGGAGGGAGATTCCTTAACTAAAAAATACCGTTACATCTTAAACCTTTTGGAAATATTTTCAAATAACTTGACATGGGAAATAAGGCTTTACCAAAAATTTATTGGTAACATACAATACTCACTAAGCACAACTGAAGTCAATCTAACTTTCCCAGCATTGTTTATGAAACAATATGATCAATAGTCCACCAAATAGCATTCATAATTGCATATATCATAACTGGGATGACTGGGAATTTACATTTTTGTAAAAACTGGGAAATGAAATCCACAAAGAGATATTTGTGAAAGGCCATTTTCTGCTTTCATAGACAGTCAACGAGCACTGAAATTTGCCGAGAAAAATACAACATCTAAATGATTCAAAAAAATATCCCAAAGTATATGGAAATTCAAATTCTGTAATATTACTCAACCATGATTTCAATGAAAACTTGAAAAAATTGAGGATCAGACATATAGATGTGACTGTGGTCAGCACACTTAGTTTCCAAAACCGACATCTAAATATTCTACCTCTATATTTTTTATTCGTGTTGTTGTTGATGACAGATATTTGTATTGTAGGGTTCAATGGAACATCAAATATTTCAAATTTGTTCGATATCTTTTATCCACTTGTGATGCACTGTTTGGGACCTTTGGTGTAGTAATGAATATTACCGAAGTTTTTTGCCAACACCAAACCGTTATTTTAACACATCGACACTTGTTTCGATCACAAAGTGATCATCTTTCAAGAGGAAGATCAAACTAAACTCAGTTCGAACTAAACTCAGTTTAATCTTCAAAAGAAAGATTAAACTAAACTTAGTTTGTTTGATCTTCCTCTTGAAGATGATGACTTAACTTAGTTTCAGCTTTCTCTTAAAGATGATCACTTGATGATTGAAACACGTGTCTAGGTGTTAAAATAACAGTTTGGTGTTGGAACTCAACAAATTGATCGATGAAGTTTTGACATGTTTATGTCAGGTTTCAATTATTTTCTGGTCTTCACTAAGAACTGAATTTTCCTATTGTTGACAAAGATGTGTATTGAAAATGCAATGATTAAATAGACAAGTTTTATAGGCCCTTGATGTACAGGAGAAGAGGTCAGAGATAATACTAGAGTAGATGAGAAAGAGGTCAGAAAGATGAAGAGAAGTTTCATAGTCTTGTCGCCTTTTCTTCACAACTTTCACTACATGAAACCTGGCCCTTTTCACTGCTTTCCTCACTTTCAGGAACATGAAAAAGTCACACCGAGCAGTTGTAGTGAATAGGGTGGATGCTTCCTCACAAGGATTCCATCGTGCTTGATCAAAAATAAAAACAGTCAGATCTGGATCAGTGTCCTGATAAAGTATCCAACACTTATTCTTCCGCAATTGTGATCGATTTCTTCTTGGTTGCTTGAGGAGGTTAGGTTGGGTCCAAAGTGAGTGGCTCTATTCATCCCTACTGTAGTCTAACATCTGTTTGGTATCAAGCTTCTTAGGGTGAATAAACGACTTGGAGTGAGCAATCCTGGACGATTCTGCTAGAAGTCCATACATCTTCGTGCCATCCAGATGTTCAATCTTTATTTGGCAAAGCCTAAATCGATGTTAATGACAGGTTATGGTCCGATGAAACTGCTTTTAGCACCCTCCTTTGCAAGGAAGTCAGCAGCCTCATTGCTTTCCAGGCCAGTATGGCCAGGAATCCAGACCAGAGATAATCTGTTAAGTGTTTCTATAGAGGAGAGTCGTATTTGGCAATTTGCTACCAGTTTAGACGTTGCTCGGTAGGAGCCAAAAGCTTTCAACGCCGCTTGACTGTCCGATAATATTTTTATTGACTTGTGTCTCTCCGCACACAATTCAATAGCGTAAATTTCAACTTGAAATACAGTCGCATAGGTTCCTAGGCAGATTGATAGTCGCATAGGTTCTTAGACAGGTTGATCTCTGTCCTGGGTTTGCGACTGAAAACACTTGCACCAGAGCCGGAAGTTGTTTTTGATCCATCTGTGAACCAACAACTATCTGCTCTTAATATTTCCTTCTCCCGGAGGATCTAGTCCTATCTACTCGGGAACATTACTTTATAAGGCAGTTCGTAGTTGACAGTTGGATGCATAAAGTAAGAGGTCATTTCCAGAATGCTGTGACTTCCAGTGTCAACCAAGAGTCTGTTGCACTCTGCATTAAATTGATTTGTGCAATTGGCAATGTGCACAAGTCTATATGCAGTCTATCTAGCGTCTCTCTCCAGAAAAATATGGAGAGGGGGTAAAATTCAAAAGGATCTTCATGGCCGCTGACGGTGTGTTTCTGATGGCACCACTGATGCCCAGAAAAGCCTCTCTCTGTATCGATCAAGGAAAGTGGCTAGGACCTCAGAATGATATTCTTTATTTACTGTTAGTCCCACAGGAACCCATTTTACAAACAGAGTTTCATGTATGTCAAAAAACATTCTGTCTTTGAAATTGGATTAGAACCGTCGAGTTTTCTCAATTATGGTGACTGCTTATTGTGATTCTTCAGATGCAATAACTCTTTCCAACAGTTCTTCATCTTTCTTCATGTTTTTCGGAATGTTAATGTCAAATGTTCATTCATGAGTCCTTTCCTTCAGGCGTGGATATTTTAGGCACAGTTTTAGAACACACTCTTCTTATATTCGGATATATTCATTATTATCATTATTGTTATTGATATTATTTTTTTCTGATGATGAGCTTGTCGGGCCCTATCCTCGAAGCTTCAATACAGTCGTAAAAACGCGCCAACATTATTAACCAATGATCACCGTGGGATAAGTGATCATTCGGTTCGAGAATCATGTGCTCCAAGCAGACGCAATGAACTACGAAGGTAAGGCGCTTTGATAAGCTAAGGTCTTTAATGTTGTTGAAGAAGTCTCCATGCATTCGTTTATCCTTGTGAAATGATTTCTGCTGCTTCTATGTGGGCCTTTGGCTGAAGGTGTTTCAACTCGGTATCAGAGTTGTGATCACTTCGTCCAGTTTCGAAATCTATTAACATTATTAGTTTTTAACTTGAGTTTTCGCTGGTCAGGCCGCATCCCCCAGAGCCCCGATACATTCAGGGTGGCGTGCCAGCATTATGGGGTAAGTGATCATTGGGCTTGAGAATCATGTGCCCTGACTAAGCGTAGTGAACCGAGAATGACAGCCTTTTACATTTGTCCGGCTAGTATTTCTGTCTTAGTGCGGCAAGCCGCATGATTTTGAGATTTGAGAGTAGGACTCCAATAGAAGAACCGTCTTGACAGAGTGGACTAGATAGAGTCTGCGGAGTTCGAAGAGAAAATCTCGATATTTCATCCGTTTCCCCCCTTTTTTAGAGCGATATTCGTCTCGTCAGGAGCTGAAAACTTCACGACAAATATCGTTTTGCTCTGGTGGTCGAGATGGACTACGTCAGGCTCATAAGCTTGTAGGAGCCAGAGGGTGGAAACGAATAGTTCCAATAAATTCGGGACTTCACAACAGATTCCCTACACTTCGAAGAGTAGGGCCACACTGATGTCTCGTCAATACCGTAAAATTGTCGTTAAGTGAATGAATTTTTGATGTTTTCTATTTTTTCTATGAAATAAACAGAATATCTCCCGCTAGGTACAGTAATTGATAAAATATTAGACTCTGGTGATGTTCACTAAATAGCTCAACTTTCATTTATTCGTAGCAAAAATTTCATCTCAAATACGCCCCCCTCAAAAATTCCTAGAACCGCTCCTGGCTCATGTTTCAAACTAAGTGATATAAATCATATTTTCGAACGAAACTAACTTGCTTAACGTACCTTTTGGATCGACTCTTCATCTTTAGATGTATCTTGGAAATTGTCCTTGGGTTCTGTAATTGGAAAAAAAATCTTGATAATGTTGTAAAGAAGCCAACATGATCATATTATAAAGATCTTATCACCTTCATACTATGGCATGATGAAAAATTGAAATAATCGAGTATATTGAACTTCAAACTCACAAGCTACTATTTCAGAAAAAAAAGGAAATTTTGTGTGGTGTTCCACAAGTATCAGTTTTAGGACTCATCTTATTCTTTTTATATGTCAATGACATTGCAAATTTGAGCATTTCTGCTCACTCTTTTCGGTGATGACAAGACGATAAGGAGTGGTGTGATGCTAACTTGCTATCCAGCAATATCACTAAAACAAACATTTTATCATTCAGATGTGCTCTTGATGACCTGTCATTTGGTGATAACTCAGTGATCAAAAACTAAACCCAATCTAAATTTCTAGATATTCACATTGACAATAAGTAAAGAATATTACTGGAGTTTTTTCCCAACACCAAATCGTTATTTTTACACCTCGACACGTGTTTCGATCACCAAGTGATCATCTTCAAGAGGAAGATAACGATTTGGTGTTGGGAAAAAACTCCAGTAATATTCATTACTACACCAAAGGTTCCAAACAGCATATCACAAATTGACAATAAGCTCAATTTCATTGAACATATCAAACAACTTAAAAGTAAAATTTGTTCTGAGTGTTATGCAGTGAGAGTAACTTCAATAAATTTGGGAATCAAAACAGCCAGAACGGTGTATTATGCCCTTGTTGAATCCCACCTACGTTTTGGAATGCCGTTTTGGGGAGTATACAATTCATCAGCACTTCTGTCTGTATTAGTACTGCAGAAACGGGCTATCAGGTATATATGTAAGATTAAAGCTCGTGATTTGTGCCGACACAAATTCGTTGAGCAAAAGATTTTAACAGTGATTGCTTTGTTCATTTCGGAATCGATTTGCCTCATTTACAAAAATATCTCCCTAACTGAGGCTTCATGCCATTCTTAGAGCACCCGTTCCACCGCGTTGAAATTGCCAATTCCTTCAACAAATTTGGTCAGGAATTCTATTTATTAAAATGGGGTCAAGATGTTTAATCACAGATATAAGACAGGCAAATTTGACCAACAAAAAGTTTAGAATAAGACATGTTTGGCTGATAGACCCTATTATAATATGCAAGAGTTCTATAATGATAAATTTACGTGACAAAATGTTCATATTTGAATTTAGGTTATATAAGATTTTTGTTTATATTCTTGTTTGGATATAAATCTTTGATTGTCTGGTGCAATATAAACGGACATGTATTGTGATACAGAGACTGAATTTGTCATTTCACAATATCTCATTTGCTTAGTAATCAGTAATTTTTTATCGACGTCACCCACTTGTTAATATCCAGATGTTTCATTACATTGCTTTGGAATTCATAGAGAACAGACTCTTTTTATTTTCTTCTTTGATGAAATCTTGCTGTGTTGACGAGAATTGAATATATTTGTCGAAGAAAGCACGCATAACTGATTTTTATTCTTCACTTCAGATTTTTGAAATTTCGAAAGATAATATTGACCTAAAGTTGTGTAAATCACTCCAGTTTTTTGATTTAGGAGGGAATTTGGAATTTTGGAAAAAGTATCTATCCTTGTCAAGTGATGTTGAGTTTTTCAAGCTGAGAGTTGATTCAGAAGGTCATTGATGATGATGAGTAGCTTTCTATAGGTGAAGGAATTTTTAAAATTGGTTAAGTGATTTTTGAGTCCATCCAGTACAAATCAAAAATCAAATATTTTCTCTTCATTATCTAAGTTTAGACAAACACATTAATTGATTATTAAGGTATACGATATAAATAGGTGCGATAACTGAATCACATGAATCATATTACAAATCAATGAATCAGATCATTTGTTTCAAAACAATAACCTCACGCGAAATAACAGTGTGGTCCAACAAAGAGAAAATTTTTATTCATTGCTTAGTCGATATTTGAATTTACCTAAAAAAAAAAAAGGATATTCATCTTGGAATTGATGAAAATGTTTTTGGTAAGGATAACAGTTATACTCAAACACAAAGTCACCCATTGAAAGTTTTTGTAAATTTTTGAGTTATTCCTGTATAAAATATGTTTTCAATATCCAAAGGAGCCACAATTGAGTCGCCCCATGTTTGTTGCAACTACATTTATCAGAATTATACACTTCTTCACAAGAAAAATGCAACTACTTCGATTTGAAGGTATTTAAAATTCTTCTTATCAAAACATATCAAAACTTTTGGGAAAGAAAGGTATCGCATTTTTACTTCTTCAACTTCATACAAAATAAATATACACCTTCACATTTATATCAAAACTTTTCCAACAGGCAACTGAACATATTTATACAATCAATTTTGTATCAAATATCTCTGAAATGGAAAATGTTATTTTATTTCGCGATGTTTTGTGATTCGAAGACTACTTCAAGTAACTATGATCATTCAAGTTATTTAAGAGAAAAAAACAGCCTCTTTTCTGAAATGTTTTAGTTTACATACACGGTATTTATTTTCCCAAAGAGTTTTTTTTACACATTCTCATGCGGACCTTCTTTGGGTATTTTCACCTTCCACATTCTGAAAAATATGAAAATAGTGAATATACACGTGTAGAAAGGGCAAACTTTTCAGTTTACCCCGATAAGTTACTATTGACCAGTAACTTGTCGTATTTATCAAAAAAAGAGCTAAGAAATTGTGAAAAATACTTTGAATTTACGCAGTAACTCATCGAGGTGAAAAAAGTTTGCCTTTCTATGCATGTACATGTCCATTACAATTTTCATATTTTTCAGACTGTGTAAGTTGGAAAAGTTTCAAAATTATATTGATTACCGAATAGTGAACATTTATTTTCTGATTTTTTTTTAAATATTTGTAGCCTCGCATTGTTATATAACCATTTCTACAAATTGAAACTAATTCTGCCTTTTCAGATAACATAAAAACACTGGACGAAGCATTTGTAATTACAAATATTTAATGAATAGAAACTTTTACAAATATGAAGTTTACAAACTAATTTGACAAACTACAGATTTTTCAAGTGCCTGTTTGTTATTCGTAATGATTTTGGCGTGTTTTTTTGATATCTGTTCCAAATTGGAACATTTTTACCCATAATTACAAAAATTCTCAATTCTTTCAACTATCAATTTACAAAATTTAAGGGGAATTGCAATGTGAATATGTATTAGACACTGAATAAATATATCACACAGTAGTAACTGAACATTATTTAAACTATTTTTAAGAACTTCAATTGTAAATAACATTTTATAGTATTTTTCGAAATGAAGCTCCATTATCCTTGAAAAATTCAATATTTTTGGACCGATTGAATAGTGATTGAAATTTGAAAATTTTTAGCAAACAAAAAAATTGAAAATAAATAAAGTTTCCTATCCTATTTGAAATCGTGAAACTTTTTTTAAATTGTTATTTTTTTCCTCATAAACACTGTTCATTTCTTGCGAAATTTGTTATATCATGTATATGAACAAGTCACAATCAATTATTATTGCATACATCGAAACATACATCTTCAGTTTGTTGCATTTAGCGTTCAAAATTTGCCTACCTTCAACGGGAACTGGTTTGAACGTTGTAGTTGTATTTTTTATACTTTTCTTCGGTAAATGAGACATCACAAAACAATTGTAACGACCACAATCTAATCTGCACCACACACTACTACCTTTCAGGTTTGATAACAAATAAATCAATTCATTTCTTGTCGAAATTACCATCAAATCGCGATAATGGGTTACACTGTTTCCACCGGCATTTTTTTGGAAGAATTAGCAGGTAAGACTATCGGGTAGTCCCCTTTTCCGTCTGAAGTCTTATAGTGGGTTTTTTTGGCGTCATTACATATGCTAATAGAAAGTAAGACATTAAAACAGAGAATAGTTAACAGTCAATAAACTCTCAATTTGGGATGAAGAACGTACACAATTGTGGTATATCGACTGTTAGAAAAGTCATTATACATGGTGTTTCAAATTTGATCCTCACTATTGGGATTTCGGAAACTATGAGAGACACGAAGATGGTTAACTCGGGGCAAAGTTGCGCGTTTACCTGACTAACAATATTCCGTTGAGAAAGTTCTGAAATTTCGAGTATATCCGGAGAAATCCGGAGAAAACAGAAATTTCGGAAAATGGTTTTTACTCGGATTTGAAAATAAATTGCACTTCCATATTGCAATTTTTTCCCTGCTTCATAGTGGTGTTTTCAGATTTGATATCCGACGTTTCGTCTTCCGGCCACCACCATCAACTTTATTTCCTCTTATGGGCGCTACATTGGATTCTTTCTGTTTTGAATAGAGCCAGATTTAACCTTTTCAATGATATATCATAAGTTATCATTCTTTTTCGAAAAATTGGAAATATTGAAAAAAAAATTATTAACATACCTAATAGGCCTTGACTTTGATGTTTCTAAATTTGACTTTCAATTTGTTACACTCAATGACACTTAGTTATACAAGTCGTTAAATTTTTGGCGAAAAGTGGCTTTCACGAATGAAGGAAAAAGAGATATGATACAAATTTAATACAAATAGGATAGGAACAGTGTTAGGACATTGGAAATGTATTTAAACTTGTATCCCGAAAGACAACAACGACATCGACTGTGTTCAAGATATTGGATCAAATATCATTTGAAAAGCTAATGAAAAAATACTGAGACAGAAATGACAATCAGAATTTGATAAATGAGGTGTGTATGGGGTAAATTAGACAATGTCCTTTTCAATGAAAATACAGTTTTGAACAAATAACAATAATCAACCTAAATGTAAAGACAAAAGTAAATCACAGCGAATGCTCAAAATGCAGGCCTTGTTCATGCAGGCCTTGTTCATGATAACAAAACTGCGCCCTTCTTCGAATATTATTCACTAGAAGATAAATCTCCCTTTTCCTCAATCTCCCGAACTCACTAATAATGCTGTGTTGAAGGTCCTCAATATTTTGATATTCCCTCTGACAATAAACTCTTATTCTCAGTGTTCCCCATAAAAATGTATCCATAACACTTAAGTCCGGAGACCTTGCTGGCCACCTCACCGGCCCATTATTCCATATCCATGCATCACCAAACCTTTCAGTCAGGTAATTAGATACTCGTCTGGTAGTGTGCGGTGGAGCACCATCATGTTGAAACCAGATGTTGTTATAGTTAGCCAAAGGTAGATCATCCAAATAGATTTCGAAAATCGACATTAAAAACTGGTCAAATAATTGAGGACTTATGAATTCTTGTCCACACGTTAATACTAAATGACACTTGAGGTCGAATTTCTCGGAACTGCCTGGGGTTGTTTATGCTCCATATGTGTTCGTTATTTCGGTTGAATATCCCACAATTCGTGAAAGTGCTTTCTTCTGTCCAAATTACATTTTTCAGGAAAACAGAAAAATCAAGTCTTCTTATTAGCCAATTATAAAATTCTAATGTGTATTTTGTAATATTTTAAACCGCTTTTTTGAGATGTCTCCAAACACTTGTATGACAAATATTCATTTCGGAGGAAATTTGACGTGTAGATTTCCCCGGGGTTCATGTTTATCTGCAAATTATCGATTTTTATTGAAAAGGACACAATGTCTAACTTACCTCATACATAACTCATTTATAAAATTTTCTTTAGTTTCCTGGTCCATTCTGTCTCCGTATTTTTTACTCGGATTTTCAAATGAACCAAACTCGGTGATGTCTAACTTACCTCATACATAATTCATTTATACAATTTTCTTTAGTTTCCTGGTTCATTCTGTCACCGTATTTTTTCCTCGGATTTTCAAATGAACCAAACTCGGTGAGATTTTGATCCAATAACTTGAACATAGTTCGATGTAGTTGTCGTCTTTCGGGATACAAGTTTAAATACATTTCTGATGTCCTAACACTGTTTCTATCGTATTTGTAATACATTTGTATCATATCTCTTTTCTCTTCATTCGTGAAAGCCATTTTTCGCCAAAAACTCAATGACTTGTACAATAACAAAATGTTGTTGAGTGTAACAAATTGAAAGTTTGAAAAGGTTGAATCTGGTTCTATTCAAAACAGAAAAAATCCAATGTAGAAAAAAAATTCCGAAATTTCTCTTTTTTCCGATATCTCCGCATATATAGTGGGAATTTCAGAACTTTCTTAATGGTATATCGTTAGTCAGGTAAATGCGCAACTTTACCCCAATTTGACTATCGTCGTATCTCTCATAGTTTCCGAGATCCCAATGGTGAGGATCGAATTTGAAACACCCTGTATGTTTCGAATTTTTAAATGTTTCTTCAAAAACTTTCAATGAAAAAAATGACGTTTTGAGAAAATGGAGTAGCATCAGTAATTGGAAAAATTATTAGAAAAATTGTCTCCCAGTTTTTATTGGCTTCCAAGAAATTACATAGTATCTTTTTTATTGATTGAATTCAGAGAAGGCCGAAAACATGGGTGAAGGATGAACAAGGTTTTTTGGAATAGTTCTGATAAAATCTAATAACAGTATAATGGAATGGAAGAATGAAATGGAGAATGCAAACAAATATTTTTGACACAAAAAACTAGCTAAAGTGAAGCAAATATGGAAAAATAAAAAGTTTATTATTATCTGTGCTGAAAAACTATGGAATAATTGAAGCCAAGTATCTTTCACAAAATTTCACGGTGATCGGTGATTAAATACACAATGAAAGGTTGATGACTTTGGAAGACTGTAGATGAGTTCTGGAACTCTGCGAGTCAAAAAACTGTTTTCAGACGTGACATCAACCCTGTAGAATAACGAACATTTCTTTATTATATTTTTTTGTAGAACCAAATTTGAAAAATTCAAATATTCATATGAAAATTTATGCAATTGCTAATATTGAGGAAAATTGATTCGTTTGAAATGCTCGAAATATTTTTATGCTTTACGCTCAGGAAAATCCTTGAGCGCTTGGTGCCCTCTAAGAGCTGTGCCTGTGCGAAAGTAGCATTGGATTTGAATCGATGGAGATTAAATCCATTTGGAAAAACGTTCTCAGAAAGTTTATTCCACATAAACGCAGTTCTCCAAATGAAATAATTTTAATTCTCGAGGTGTCCTGAGTTGTGGCATTGAACTGAACTTGGTTACTTTCACTCTAATTCTATGCAGCGTTAGATACAGGTACAGATAAAACAAATGAAACAATTTTTTTTAACATAACAACAACTCCATTTTCGATGGTTGAAAACATTTTTGGCCACCTCAAATCCACTCTTTCATTTGATTTAACAATGCTGTCTTGAACTTCCCTTAAAATGCAAAAATCTTACAGTTTATTTTCATCAATGGCCAAATCTTTCGAATCATCCCACGTTATCGGTGTTTTCATTGAAAGTATGCTCAATTTACTGTTGGTACTTAGAATTTTCAAAATCATACCATTCATTCAGGAAATCCAAACATCTCTGAAAGAAAATGTCTGCTTCCTTGTAAAACGTAGCATTGTCCGTTTCATTTGGTTTTTTCAAAAGATCTTTTACTGAACTAACAATTTATAATTTTTTGGCGGATTTCAGTCATGACATCGTGCAATTCTGGGCAAGTTACAAAATCACTTTCAAGAACTTTAATGACAGTGTTGAAAATCTGAATCGTATTGTGTAAAAAGTATATTGTGTAAGTAACAGTAGCATAGCGTAACGGCAGGGAGTTTTCATCGTTACTTTTGCACAACTTGTTATTCCGAGAGAATTTTGCATATTTTAAATTCCTTCCGGGAGCCGGGAGATTTTAATTTTCAGAGCTTAAATCCGGGAGACTCCCGGAATTCCGGGAGAGGTGGGAACCCTAGTCAAAGGCCTCAGAAATATCAAGCGCAACAGCTCTTGACTCTTCATGTTTCTCGATTGCGACATATGATAGAAGGTCGCCTGTTGATCTTTGTTTCCGAAAGACATATTGATGTTCGCTCAAGATGCTAAACCCATCCAAATATTTGTGAAAACACTTATAGCAAAGCGACTGCTCTATAGTTATTTAGAAGATTTTTCTTGTCCTTTTTAGGAATAGGCTGAACGAAAACAATCTTCCAACGAGAAGGGAAGACCCCTTCCTTGTGAGATAGGCTGAAAAGTCTGCAAAATACTGGTGTGAGTTCATTTGCGCTCTTTTAAAGTACGATGACATCAGGACCAGACGCCTTGTTGGTATTAAGCTGTTTCAAAATTTGTCTAAATGGACGTTGTCGAAAATTAAATTCGTTTGTGAGTGAATTGTCCATATAAGCTAAAGCGACATTGGCAGATTTCCAGCCACCGTGGCTCTTCAAATTTGTTCCACCATTATCAGCAAATATCGTCCCTGAAGTTTGACGAATAGTGTGGCCTGTGTAATTTTGAGGATTGGGTAAATTTAAAAACTCTGCAAGTCTCAATCTGAGAATCCGAAACTGTGGATACCAACAGGCGGAATCGAACGTCGTTAAAATAAATTTCGCTTGTACAACATCAGGTTCTTTTGCCCAATTACAACAAAAGTTCTTTCAATATGTGTTTTGGAATCTGGTATTTTCACAAGAAACATGACTTCCTTGTCGTTTATTAGATCAATTGACATTTTTGTTAGTTCTTTCCGTTCACACGCACCGGCTAATCCAATAATTGTGTCTACCTGAAAATAAAGCAAATTAAGTTGATACTTTGATACCTTCAGCATTAGATA